TTTACTCACCCCCGTCATCCATGATGTCCATGTCATTCTTTCTTCAGTCGAAAAGAAATTAAGGTTTTTGATGAAAACATTCAAGGATTTTCTCCATGTAATGGATTTCAATGGGAACCAAACAGTTCAAGGTCCAAAAGACACTTTCAGTGCAGCTTCAAAGGGCTTTAAATGATTCCAGGTGATGAATAAGGGTCTTATCTAGCAAAACGATCACACATTTAATTAATAAATAAATAACAAAGTGTATAAGCACTCAAATGCTCTGTTCTGTGATTCGCGATTGTGACTCTCCTGTTCAAACTCGTTCATCAAAATGAACAAATCTTTTTTCGTGTCATTTGGTTCATTCAATGAACGAAATAAATGAGTTGACTTTTGAAAAGATTCATTCATTTTGATGAACGAGTTCGAACAGGAGAGTCACGAACGTGCATCACAGAACAGAGCAAGGCGACCATTTGTGCTTATAAAACTTAAACTTTGTAATTTTTTTTTTTTAAATGAGCGATCGTTTTGCTTGATAAGACCCTTATTCATTACCTTGAATCGTTTAAAGCCCTTTGAACAGTTTGCACTGAAAGTGTCTTTTTGGACCTTGAACCGTTTGGTTCCCATTGAAGTCCATTATATGGAGAAAAATCATCAAAAACCTTAATTTCTTTTCGTCTGAAGAAAGAAAGACATGGACATCTTGGATGACATGAGGGTGAGAAAATTATCAGCCCGAGTGCCCACTTGTTTCATCTGAGGTCAACACATTTCAATAAAATAGTAGCAAATCAAGCTTCAGATCATCTCAGTGATGCATTTCCCCCTCAGTGCCGATTTGGTTTATTTGATTCAGATGCATGTTAATCCGAAACATGTCTGTGTACGTATGCCGGGCTTGTTTCTATTTATTTTGACGCTCGTTTGAAGCGTTATTAAGTATTCCTGTGTGCTTTGTCAGACTGCATGCGCTTCTCAAGCTGAGCCGGAAGCTGCTGAATGTACTGCAGTTTCAGTGATTATGAGGGAAAGAAAACCCTTGTATGGACCAAAAATTGTCTAATATCGTCAAGTTTCCTGTATAACGTAGAGATGGTTTCTTTTGCAAAAGGATTCATATAGAATGTCTTTGTATCGAGATGTATGCATCTGCATAAAGCTATCCATAACTGTTGCGTCTATGTGTATCTGATTGTCCATGTGATGCAAATCCAATTGAATTTGCTGCTTTTGAAATGTCATGCAATATCTTTTTACGACAGCTCAGTTTATATTTTTCTGTGAAGATCATTATTGCATTATGAATGTATTTGCACTCTATTAGGGCTTTCAAATGAAAATTAAAATGAAAAGGATACATTTCACCTCTCACCTGACCTAGACTAATTTTTATGATTGCAGTCTAGAAAAAGGCAAACTGCAAAATGCTATGCTTTACTTAGGAGAATGAAGAGAGAAGCATTTGTGTACTTATATAAAGTTGATTTGGTGAAACATTGCAGCTTAACATAAATTTGAACCTAAAAATCGTATCATTTCTGTTCATGTTGTCAGATATTGCAATGGACCAGTTAGTCCACTAGATGTCACAGGTGATCCATTTTAGTATGATTAAATCACGATATAGAATTCAATAAAGAATTTATTTAAGACACTATTTTAAGGTGTCATTGTTACAGTGTAATTATATATTTAAGTATTGATTAACAACATGTACTTACTATAGGGTTAGGGTTTGGTTGCATGTTATTTTACTGCTATTACTATGGTAAATACATGTAAGATATGTAACGAGGACACTGTAAAATAAAGTGTTACCTTTATTTGTTTATTTTATTTTTTTAAGAATTACAATTATGATGTACAGCTACATTACTGACTTATTTATAATGTCTAGACAAACCTGTTTTTTTGGCAAGTAAAACCAAAAATGTTTGGCATCTTCTGAATGTATTAAAGGGTTATTACAACAGACTATTGCCACGCCTATTTATCTGTAATAAAATAACAGCATATTTATGACGACAATGGTAAAAAAATTACATTTATTCCTTATGTTACAAACTTGAAGAGTTCACTTTTAAAAAAAACTTTTGCTGATAATTTACTCACCCCCATGTCATCCAAGATGTCCATGTCTTTCTTTCTTCAGTCGAAAAGAAATTAAGGTTTTTGATGAAAACATTCCAGGATTGTTCTCCATATAATGGACTTCAATGGGAACCAAACGGTTCAAGACCCAAAAGACAGTTTCAGTGCAAACTGTTCAAATGGCTTTAAACGATTCCAGGCATGGTTTATTTACTTAATCATTTCATGGAAATAGGTTACCTCACTTTTATAAGTTAAGTCAACCGATCACTTACAGTGTAGGCTAATGAAAATAATCACCACAAACATGAATATGAAGATTTGATTTTAGTATAAGCCTATTTAATAAAAAAATTTCAAAAACCTATTTCACATTCATGTTTTTAGATCTTTCACAATAGTGAAGAAACTACTGAAAATCCGTCGTTGAAAGATGATATGATCTTATAAGCATCGCCAAATGATGCACGACAAAACACACCAATGGTAGCACTCAACGAACAATAAAAACACTCAACATAAACCAAAATTACAAAATAAACCAACAACACAAACTGCTAAAAGCAACGCAAAACTAAGTTCAACAGCAGCTCAGATAAAACCAAAAAGAATCATAGAAAATCCAAAGCATAATCTATTCATGCCGCACTGCATGCTGGGTAATTTAGTACATATGCACTGTCTGGAGAAATACAGAATGAAGTTGTTTGTTTAAAGTAAATTGTGTTTTCCAATACTGTAAACTTACAGTAAAAGCACACCTGCACTCTTTTAGTACAGTTAGATTCACGAAAAGACTTTGAAATGTAAAAGTATTCAATAATTAACCTGTAATATACTGTAATTTCATTCTAACTTAGTTCGTTAACTAAAGTAAGCAGAAACCTTATTTAACTATTCAAAATGAAACCTTTAAGTTAATGGGAAATGGAATGAATATATTGAATTAAATATGTAATCACTATCAATACAGTTATAGGATTCTCGCTTTAATAAGTGTAATATAGGCTACTAAAAATATACAAAAATAATATATATATATATATATATATATATTTAAGAATAAATGTTTTCCAAATACATGTTTTGCTAAGAAGGGTTAGTAAGACCTTTAAAAAAAGTGAAATTTAAGGCAGTTTTAGTCAGGACAATCCAGAAGCGAATGAAATCCGATTGTGGTCCGCAACCTCGTGCTCTCTCTCTCTCTCTCTCTCTCTCTCTCTCTCTCTCTCTCTCTCTCTCTCTCTCTCTCTCTCTCTCTCTCTCTCTCGCTCTCTCTCTCTCTCTCTCTCTCTCTCTCTCTCTCTCTCTCTCTCTCTCTCTCTCTCTCACACAAACAGACACATTGAGTACAGCAGACTGATGAGTGACAGAGCTTCACACAGTAGCAGTGAACGCCGCGCTGGAGAGGAGGGGTGACAGGGAACTGTCTACTGTACACTCCAGTAATGAGATTATTCAACTCAACTAAAGCTTCTTCTAAATAGTAGTAGTTGCGCTGGTTCCCGCACATGTGCTCACGTGTGCGCGTTCGCGTCCTGCTCAGGAAAAGCGCAGCGTTTGATGACAGGACTTTTGTAAAGAAACTGCTCTCTCGCCCAATGCGCACATGACTTTTGCGTTTGTTGTCGTTTGCGACTTTTAACGGGATTTAACTTTGAGCCATTCGCCGTGTCTGTTGAGGGAAACAGACCCCGCGAGCCATGGAGAACCACGCAGATATGCAGAATAGCACCGAGGACGTCCGTAAGAGCGGGTATCTCCGCAAGCAGAAGTCCATGCACCGGCGGTACTTCGTGTTACGGACGGCTTCTGAGCGCGGCCCGGCCCGACTCGAATACTATGAGAGCGAGAAGAAATTTCGGGGTAAAGCTCCCGTGCCCAAAAAGGCTCTTGCGCTGGAGACGTGCTTCAACATCAACAAACGGGCCGACTCGAAGAATAAGCACATGATAGTCCTCTACACACGGGCTGAGAGTTTCGTGGTGGCGGCGGAGAACGAGACGGATCAGGAGGAATGGTACCAGGCGATGGTCGAACTTCAATGCAAGAGTAAGTCTGGGAAATGTGTGTGAAATTATGTGTTAACGTGGCAAGCTTCGTTTAATTGCATCTTGCATGTTATAAATCCGCCCGGATAGAAATAAATAAATAAAATAGTAGCTACGGTAGATAAGAGCACAATGAATGTTGTTAATAGAATGATGCGTCTCTTAAAGAGATAGTCACCCCAAAAAATGAAAAATGTGTCATTATTTACTCACCCTCAAGTTGTTCCAAACCTGTATGAGTTTCTTTCTTCTGCTTAACACAAAATAAGATATTTTGAAGAATGTTTGTGACCAAACAGTTGATGGACCCCATTGACTGTGTTACTATAGAAGTCAATGGGGTCCATCAACTGTGTTACTATAGAAGTCAATGGGGTCCATCAACTGTTTGGTACTGTCATTCTTCAAAATATCTTCAGTTTTCAGCAGAAGAAAGAAATTCATATGGGTTTGGAACAACTTGAGGGTGAGTAAATGATGTAAAATCTCTAAAGTTTATAGTTGTTCTTTCTGTCGGACAGAAGCAAAATCAGAGTTGGTCTTATTATTGGTGAAACTACTTTGCTTGTACATTCACTGTTTTCTGTGCGGTTTCTTAAGCGGTCAGTGTCTTTAACACAGCGAATTGGCCTAATGAGACAGTGGTATCATCACAGTAGACTCATACTATGATAATGAATGAATAATAACATCAAAGAAACACGAGAACAGGCAAACAGTACTTAAAAAACGATAAATTAAAAATATATTTGTGTCATATAATTCATATGTAATATGGATATGGATTCATATCACCTCTAATGTATTAGTTCATTAATATTCAGTGTATTAGCATAGATCTAATTCAGAGCAGCGCAATGACGGGTA